TTGATATATATATATATATATATATATATATATATATATATATATATATATATATATATATATTATTACGGTGAAACAGGACGTTTGTTATCAAACAAATATGGTAACTACATATTTGTTAGTTCCACGATATCAGCAATGTTATATTACGTTTTCTGTTTTTGACAATTTAGGTTAATCGTCTGATTTGTATATATACATGTAAACAGAATTGATAATGGCAGCCGTTTTTCAAACTCTTCCTGCTGTGTTTTGATATTTGTCATGGTATCAGAGCCCGAATTCATCCGAAATTGAAATCGATCTATTGTTCCTTTATGACGTCTCACACGAACATCGAATCCCCTTCGAATCCCGACTCGACCCCGACCCCGACGATGGCACAGTCCACCCCTGCTGCAGATCCTGTTGCTATACCACGGCACACCATTTCCCCTTACGATTTGACTCCGAGCGACAATCCTGGTCTCGTCCTCTCCCAGCCTTTGCTCCGAGGGGATAATTACGATGAATGGTCCATTAACGTTCGTCAAGCGTTAAAATCCAGGAAGAAATTTGGTTTTATCGACGGGACAATTCCGAAACCGGCAGATACGTCTCCTGATTTCGAAGACTGGGATACTAATAATGCCTCATTGCTTCATGGATCAAGAACACACTGGAATCCCATCTGTGATCTGATGTTGTCCACCGAGAATTGGCACAAGACTTATGGATTTATCTGAAACGCAGATTTGGGCAAACGAATGCTCCACAACTGCTGACGATTCGAAGCGAACTTGCAAATTGCCGACAATGTGGAATGACAGTGGAGGCTTATTTCGGCAAGTTAACCAAGTTATGGGATGACTTGGCTAATTTCCGTAATCTCAAACAATGTAAATGCAATGGTTGTACCTGTGATCTTGGTGCTGTTCTTGAAAAAGAACGTGAAGAAGACAGGCTCTTCGAATTTTTATTGGGCCTCGACGATTCCAGATTTGCCACTGTCCGTTCAAATCTGCTCTCCAGACTTCCTCTTCCTTCTTTGAAGGAAGCATACAACACGGTGTCCCAAGATGAAGCTGCAAAACATGTCATTCAAATGCACGAAACAAGACCTGATGTTTCTGCTTTCTTGCTCGCTCTGACCAGAAACCTCGAATCCGGTCCGACGACAAAGACAAGTCGATCGTCTGCTCGAATTGTAACAGACCCGGACACCTTGCCGAAAACTGTTTCCAGATCATCGGTTTTCCTGACTGGTGGGGTGAACGTCCGCGAAACAGAACAGGAAATGGACGAAGCAGAGGGATTCCACCGTCTGATAGTCGTAGAGGAACTGTTGCGCGAGCTAATATGACTCATGTCCCAGCTCCAACACCTCACGTTCCTCTGAATGAATCAGATAAGAATCTGATTATACGGGAATTACTCAAGAACAGTGGGCAAGCTTGATGTCTATGTTCAGTAAGTCTACCGTTACTGGTGCCGACACTGTTTCGGGTAAGTGTTTTTTCCCTCCTTGGATTATCGACACTGGTTGTTCTCAACACATGACAGGAAATTTATCATCCTTGGTTGATGTTGTTTCGATCTCTCCATGCTCGGTTATCCTTCCCGACAACAGAGCAGTCGTTTCATCTCACTGTGGTTCAGTTCTTCTGGGTCCGAACCTGCGTCTAACGCAAGTTCTTTTTGTTCCGGGGCTACGATGTCAGTTGATATCTGTTGGGCAGATGATGGTTGACACTGACTGCTTTGTTACATTTGCTCCTTCATTCTGTGTGATCCAGGACCGGATTTCCAAGACGCTGATTGGAGTAGGTGAGCAAAGGGCAGGTTTATTTTATTATCGAGGAGCAGCTACCACAACAGTTGTTAAGACGAAGAACACTCAGTCAATTGACATATGGCACAAGAGATTGGGTCACCCTTCCTCAAAGGCACTGCTGCAGATTTCTGCACTTGATATTCCAACATTTTCGTCTCCTGTTTCAGATTTATGTGATACTTGTTTAAGGGCAAAACAAATTCGGGAAACTTTTCCTTTTAGCAGAAATAAAGCATCGACTGTTTTTGAGTTAGCGCATTGTGACATATGGGGTCCATATCGGTCTCCTTCTTTTTCTGGAGCAAAGTATTTCTTAACCATTGTTGATGACTATTCTCACGGAACTTGGGTATTTTTTATGCTCGGGAAACATGAGACGCAAACAAGGATCCGAGATTTTATTGCTCATGTCGAAAGACAGTTTAACGTTGTCGTTAAAACACTCAGGTCTGACAATGGAACAGAATTCGTAAGTTTGCGTCCCTTTTTCCAATCCAAAGGCATCGTTCATGAAACATCCTGTGTGGGGACTCCGCAGCAAAACGGTCGTGTGGAGAGAAAACACTGCCATTTACTCAACATTGCTCGGAGTTTACTCTTCCAAGCCGATCTTCCTATTGAGTTTTGGGGAGAAAGTGTTTTAACGGCCGCTTATCTGATAAACAGAACATCTCGTCGATTCTAGAAAACCGCACACCGTATGAACTTCTCTACGGCCAGAAACTATGTTATAATCATCTGCGGGTTTTTGGTTGTCTTTGCTACGCTCACACCCAGAATCGAACACGGGATAAATTTGCTCCCCGCAGCTTTCGATGTATTTTCATCGGTTACCCATATGGCCAAAAAGGATGGAGGCTTTACAATCTTGACTCTAAGGAATTCTTGGTGTCTCGCGATGTGGTTTTCGATGAAACCAAGTTCCCTTACTCAGAAAAATCTGTTACTAATCAGCCCTCTCCTTTGCCACTGCAAACTGAAAATCTGATAAGTTATTTCGAAGATTCTGATTTGGATCAGTTGCATGTCCCGCCCGTACCAGCCTCTGTACCTCCTAATCTGCAACCCCGAGATTTTCTAGCAGCCGATGCTCGTGATTGTCCGACTTCATCCTCATCCTCACCATCATTGTCGTCCTCTGATTCAGCTGCCGTCCCAGTTTCTCAGGAAGTCACTGACCAAAATCTCGGAAAGGGAAAAAGGCAGAAGTTTCAAAGTGTCCTTCTCAAGGATTTTGTTGCTCGCTCTGTTTCGGTTGCACAAGGCCTCCCATTTCCTCTCAAAAATTATATTTCTTATGCTAAAGTTCAACCGAAACACCGAGCATTTCTTGCCACTGTTACAGCTGAATCTGAGCCACGGACGTATACAGAAGCCTCTACAGATGTACGTTGGCAGAAAGCCATGTCTGAAGAACTCTCTGCTCTTGAACAGAATTAGACCTGGTCTCTTGAACCATTGCCCCCGAATAAAAAGGCTATCGGCTGCAAGTGGGTCTTCAAAACAAAGTTCAACTCAGACGGAAGTGTGGAGCGACACAAAGCTCGCTTAGTTGTTCTCGGCAATCGACAGACTGAAGGAATAGATTACGAAGACACCTTTGCTCCGGTTGCCAAAATGATCACCGTTCGCACGTTTCTTGCCGTTGCAGCGGCTCACAAATGGAATGTTCATCAGATGGACGTTCATAATGCATTTTTCCATGGAGATCTATCCGAAGAAGTATACATGAAACCCCCTCCGGGTTTTCCGGTCTCTCATCCGAATGTGGTATGTAGATTACGAAAATCTTTATACGGTCTTAAGCAAGCTTCACGATGTTGGTTTGCCAAGCTCCACACAGCATTGACAACGTATGGATTTGCCCAATCCGAATCTGATCACTCGTTATTTGTTCTTTACAAAGGCGATATTCGACTTCACGTACTGGTCTACGTCGATGACTTACTTGTGACAGGCGATTCCCCACGCGCTATGGCTGATTTCAAGCAATACTTGAGCCGATGTTTCAAAATGAAGGATCTTGGAAATCTTAAGTACTTCCTTGGCATTGAGGTTGCACGAAATTCTTCGGGGTTTTCGCTATGTCGGCGGAAATATACACTTGATATCATTGCAGAATCTGGTTTGTTGGCTGCAGAACCAGTTTCTTTCCCGTTAGAACAAAATCATCGGCTGAGCATCTCTGACAGTGAAGAGATGAAGGACCCAGAACCGTACCGACGTCTTATTGGCAGACTTCTCTATCTTATCGCCACCAGACCAGATATTACTTATGTTGTGCATATATTGTCCCAATTTATGCAAGCACCTCGCGTGGATCATTGGCTCGCTGCTCTCCGCGTGGTCCGTTATTTGAAGCTGAATCCGGGACAAGGAATTCTCCTTCGTTCAGACTCAGATTTATGTTTGTATGGATGGACTGACTCTGATTGGACTGGCGACCCGAGCTCTCGATGTTCACTCTCCGGATACATAATACAGCTCGGCAATTCTCCTGTCTCCTGGCGCTCCAAACGCCAGAATACCGTATCTCTTTCATCGGCTGAAGCAGAGTACCGAACCATGGCTGTTACCACATGTGAGCTGATCTGGCTGAAAGCTCTCCTTCGTACTCTCGGTGTGCACCATTCAGACCCTGTAATTCTGAACTGTGACAGCCAGGCCGCCTTACACATTGCCGCCAACGATGTTTTTCACGATCGCACAAAGCATATCGAAGTTACGTGCCATTTCTTGCGTCATCACATCAAATCCGGACATATCATTACTCGACATGTCTCATCTTCGACACAACTCGCGGATATATTCACAAAGGCACTCGGACAGAAAGAATTTACGGCATTTCTCTCCAAATTGGGCGTACACAACATCTACACTCCAACTTGAGGGGTATTACGGTGATACAGGACGTTTGTTATCAAACAAATATGGCAACTACATATTTGTTAGTTCCACGATATCAGCAATGTTGTATTACGTTTTCTGTTTTTGACAATTTAGGTTAATCGTCTGATTTGTATATATACATGTAAACAGAACTGATAATGGCAGCCGTTTTTCAAACTCTTCGTGCTGTGTTTTGATATTTGTCATATAATAATATATATATATATATTATTATTGCATATATGGTATTAAAATACATAAATTTTCGAGTGATGTTTTTTTTCGCTTTTCACTTCGATGATGATGAAACCTGTCGCACTTTTTTTATGGATAATATTTTTGTTAGACTTTTGCTGAGAATAAGTATCATTAGAGAGAGAAAATCATGGACTATATTATAATAAGAGCAAGCATAGAAATGTGTATTCCCTGAACAATTTGAAGTATTCAAATGTCTAAAAATCATGTACGATATTTAATACAAAATAATTTAGATCCCAAATAATTTTAAAATTTATCAGTGCTATATACGCCTTTTTTTAAGATGCGGAGTAAATATTTCCAAACGCCTTTTTTAATGGGTGTATGATGTGGTCAAGAAGCATATAGTGAATTCAATTTATATTAAAACATAGGAATTTAAACCACGTGTTATTTGCAGACATAATTATACATAACTAACTAAATAAAATAATAAAAATTCCAATCAGTAATCGGCACGTTCGTTTGGTAACAAATGTGAAGCCGCGTCTTGGCCTTACACAGTTCAACTATAAAACTCCCTTCACAAAGTTTCCACAAGGATCAATTCAAAGCATAAACCCCCCAAGAGCCACAAATCTCTCTATATATATAGATATATTCTCTCTCAGGTGTGCTTAATTAGATACTTTGTCCTTACATCCTTACACGCATACAAACGCTCTGGAAGGAACTCAAGCGTTGATGAATCATTTTGTTTCTGGTCGCAGGAAAATGGAAGAATCGAGCTTTATGGATCTCATGGACACGAACGAATACTTCATAGATGAGCTGGATCTCGACTCCTCCCTCTTTGGAGAAACCTTTGATGACACGAAGCCAGCAACAGAACCCAATGGCTCGGACCGTTGGGAGATCATTACAGACAAAACACAGGTCTTTGAACCGGTTTGCGAGAGACCCACGAAGCAGGTCAAACCCAACCACAACACCAATTACTCATCTTCTCCGTCTTCGTCCTCTTCTTCAATTTCTCCGTCTTCCCAACTGATATCGTTCGGGGACTGTAACGTATCCAACATAATGGGAATGGAACAGCAGTTCCGACAAGCTACGTCTTCCAAGAAATCTACGACAAGGAAACAGCCTCATACCATGAAAGAACATGTCATCGCTGAACGGAAGCGTCGCCAGAAACTCAACGAGAGACTGATTGCTCTCTCCGCTCTTCTCCCCGGTCTGAAGAAGGTAAAAACTTGAGCTTGTATTTTAGGGTTTAAGTGGATCGATTATCAGATAAAAGCAAACACATATATGTCACAGGTGGACAAGGCGACAGTTCTGGAAGACGCGATAAGTCACGTGAAAAGACTTCAAGAACGGGTAAAACAGCTCGAGGAAGAACAAGGTTCGACCACTAAGTCAATGGAGTCGGTGATCTTCGTCAAGAGATCTGTCCTGTCGGAAGACGAGGATTCTTTGGCTTCGTCGGACGAACAAATCAGCAGAAGAACACTGCCTTTGATCGAGGCAAAAGTCTCCAACCAAGATTTGCTTCTTAGGATTCTCTGTGAGAAGAGCAAAGGGTGCCTCGGAAAGATTCTAAGTACAATGGAGATGCTTCAATTGGATGTCGCCAGTAGCTTCACTTTGCCCTTTGGAAACTCCACTCTCGATATCACGATTCTTGCCAAGGTATTCTATATATAATATGTAAATTTACTAATTGCATATTCACTGATCTTTATTAATAAGAGTCGGGCGATCATATATATGTTGTATTGAATTGCAGATGGACAGCAACTTCAGTCGACCGGTGAAGGACGTGGTGGAGAACATAAGATCCGCCATTGCTGAATAAGTTTTGCTGACTGTTTAGCTGTAATCGTTGCATTTGGATTGATATTTTGCGTATTCAATTTATATTTGGAGTGATCATGAAGCAGTTTTAAATGCATCCGATCCAACTCGTTATCTTGGTGTCTGAATTCAACGTGATAATAAATTCGATCACCGTCCCCGAGAAATTTGTCAGATATCTAAAAATCCATGACAGTAAAATCCTTCGATCCTCTTCACCTCTGAAACAGGGTGCACCTCTCGGGAATCGATTCAGGTTTGAGATGAGAATAAATCTATTCGGTTTTACAAAAATAGATTCCAATCGATTTTTTATAGTATGTTTGATTCGATTTCTCTTCTAGTTAAAAATTTCGGTTTTTCAGAATTTTTTAAAATCAATTTCATTTCCGTTCTGAAAAATTCGGTTTTCTAAAAATAATACTGTTCAGAAATTTAGAACGGTTCAAATAGAAAAACATACTGTATTTTTCGATTCGTTTCGGAACCGAACCGAAACACCCACCCCTACTCTGAATACCCAATTAGTACCATCATTACGGATTTTTAGATGAATTCACTAGAAAAAAAAAACAAATGACTCAAAATGAATGAAAGCATGATTCTTGTTCTCTCTAAGTAATGTCCGATCCAAGAACAGTCATTGTTCCGACATTTTAAAAAAAAAAAACAAAACATCGCGAGATTTACACGGAACACCATGGGTTTCTCGAATCTATGAGATCGGGGGACTTATGAGGAAACAAGTAGAGAACGTTTATTGCGAGTGAGTTGTTCTTATTTCTTCTTCTTTTTCTTTATGTGAGCAGCATTTTGCTGAAATCCGATCCAAACTCTCACTTTTTGACAAAAGAGACACCCTTCTCAATACTTCCTGCGAGTTCTTTCTTTGCCTTCTCCAACCCCACCCTGTTCAACAACATCAAGATGCCCATTATATATATATATATATATATATTATGTGATTATACAAACAATTTAACCTAGGTCCCTCCTGCATTTTCTCTATATCATCAGAATGTAAGGGTATTCTTATCATTACACAAATAATTTATAACCCTAGCTCCTCTTTTGTTTTCTCTATATGATTTAGAGAACATACAAGAGAAACTTAGTTTAAATTTTTTGTATAATGACAATTATACCCTTATACTCGCTCAACGGTTCAAGGATTAGACTATGATCGAGAATTTCATTTACCTCTCGTACTCGCTCAGGGGTCCAAGACCATGCACCTCCTCGATCCCACCTCGCCCCAAACGCACCTTTGAGGCGAAGAACGGAAGCTCAGTCACCTGTCCCGCAAAAAAAAAAACGACTCGCATGTTCAAATGAAAAGGCAAGAAGATAGCGTTTCGGAAAAGCATTTAGACGATAATAGATTTAGAAAAAGGACCGTACATGAGAGGCGACAAAAGCGCACTCGATAACGTTGGCATCCCCTCGCAAACCCCTTAGACACGCATCTGCAAATTTTACAGCTGCATATGCCTGCATTTTAACGTCCGATTTGTATCGTTTACGCATTAGTGAGGTTCAAAAGAAAACTCGGGTTTGATTTGAAAGTGGAAGGCGTTATGACGGGGACAAAACCATAGATAATGTCGCAGATCCAGTCCCAGCTTTAGCCTGTCAATGATTCAGACAAGGGTCTCTTAATAATTTCGATTGTCTGTTCACAAAAAGAAGAGTGAATTTCCAAGTAAACAGAAAGGAAAGCCGGGTGACTGTCTGAACATACCTCGACAACCTCTGTGCCACCGTTTTGGATGCGGTCTGTAAGATAATCTATCTCTTTTTGAGTGAAAGAGCATGGAGGTTTCACCTGTAGCAGCCATATAATCCAAGAAAGTATATTCAGTCTCAGAAGCTCGAGATGAAGTGACTTTGAAGAGGACCAATTCCAAAAGAGTCTTTTTTAAACCTGGGAAAGCAGCGGTAAAATCGTAACCCCTGCATGTCCTCCGACAACAGGAACATCAACTTCTCGGGGATCAAGGCCCATTACTTCTGCCTGTATTTGTAAACCCATTTTTACTTCGCCTTATACAGCGACCAAAGACAGGACAGTAAAAGATAGGATTTTTTTTATCATATAAAGATGGATCCAGAATATCTTCCGTCCGGGCATCGAGAAAAGACTCTGGAAAGAGTGAACTAATAGCGCATACCACAAAAGTATTAGCTCTAACAACATCGAGCATGGTCACTCCCATGAGCTTCTTGGGATCAAATATGCCAGCTTTCTTGAAAACTTCAGCCGCGATAGGCACTGTGGAGTTCACGGGATTACTGATGATGTTCACGATTGCATTAGGACAACATTTGGCTATCGCTTCACAAAGGGTCCTGACAATTCCCGCATTTATATTGAACAGATCGTCCCTTGTCATCCCTGGTTTCCGAGGAACACCAGCAGGCATGATTGTTGGCTGCAGAACCACCCTCTCACCTGACCAAAAGCCAATGATATCGCATCCCATGAACAATGATTTAATCGAATTACGAGGTGGAGGGAAACAAGATGCGCGAATGAAATCCGTGACTATGCATTTTAACTTTAGTGTGGATTTGGCTTATGATCTCAAACTCAAGTTAAGTTTCACCACCACTGTGTTCTTCCTCTGCTCTCAATATCTCTGTCACACCAATATCAAGTATCTAATCCATCGCCTCATCATATCGACAGCTTACATTTGAAAACTTCATCCAGATTCAGACAGGATCACACAATCTAAGAGCACAAAATGTCCTAGAAGCCATTCCAGCTGAATCCTAACAGCTTATAAATTCGACATCTTCCAAAATGCGTGTTAAGGCATAGAGAAGATAAAACAGGAGGAACTTACGACGGCACCAGTGTCCATGTGACTGATGTCAGCAGTGACACCAGGAGTGTTGACGACATCGTAGAGATGAAGAACAGAAACCAAAGGGTTCATCTTCATCAACATCGCCAGAGGTTGTCCGATCCCTCCCGCTGCTCCCATTATCGCCACCTTGAATCCGGCCGACCCGCCTTTCGCCCGGCAACCCACCCGCCTCAGATCCGACCCGTCTCCCCCCATCATCTGCCCAAATAGAAAGGAGGAATTTTGATCACGATTCGTCGTTTTAAGAACTACCAGATAATCACCGATCGAATTATCAAAAACCAGTAAATAAAGATTTCCTAAAAAGCTGACAAATTTCACAAGAAAAACAAAAAATTCGGCTAAAAAATGGATATGGTCGATTGAAAAGGTACGTCTTTTTCAAATGCAAGAACCTGATTGGGAGGGGTGAGATGGGCGGAGATCCTCGCGATACGCTGATTCGGATCCATGTCTGATTGTATCTTTTTCCCCAGGAACTGCAGCAATACGATTCTAGAATCGAATCGATAGATGGGTAGGAGAAATTCAGATTAAATAATGGCTGCAGGTGACGTCAAGAGATGATCCTGTATCGGGAAGCGTGGCGAGCGCGAAGCTTATCTTCCTCACGGCTTCGCAATGGTTTTTTTTTAGAAAATGCGATTTCGAGTGCGGCGTGACTATGTTCTGGAAACTCTTCCCATTTGACCGTACAATAAATCTGACGAATTATAAGTTTTTCTTATCAAAACCTTTTCTTGAATAGAGCGAAATAATAATTTTCAATAAGGTCTATGATCTATTTATCACTTTTTTAACACATACTATACGAATAACTATTTTCTTAATTGTGAAAACAAAAACAATTTTGTAACTCCGAATTGTTTCATTATTACACGATTCAATTTTCTTTAAAAGAAAAATTTGATTATAGTGAGCTGGGTTTTAAGAGCCAATTTTTAATTGAAGGCCCATATCATTTTATTAAACACGGGCCTTCAATGAAAATTGGGCTTCATAAAACCCAGCCCAATCCATGTCGTTATTGTCCACGGCGTATTTATGAATGCTTTGCTTCGAAGCAAAGAATTACTCATAAAATAATATATTTATTCTTAAACCTTACAGGAAAACGATATTTGAAACTAAAAAGGAAAAATGGAAGGTGGTATTCGACGTCGTTTCGTTTGGGAAGATTTCAAAAAGTTTTAAAACGAGAGATCTATCCCGCTTGAAGGGGCAACTAACCACGGTTAAATATAGAGCGGTTGAGTAGGCCCGCGTCAATAAGGTTGCGCCTCACAAATCATTACCAACTTAACCACGGTTAGCTGTCACCCTTGGTTAGACAGGCTGTTTCTTCCTTCTCCTCCCTTGGTATCTTCTATAAAAATCAAGCCGAGGAACAAAAAACCATCACGAAGCCACGAAAAAAGAGCGTAGCGTCTTGATAAACGCCGCTCTTCTTCTCTCGAGTTTTCTCGCCGTTCATCGGATTTCCTTGTTGCGAAAATGAGAGAGTGCATTTCGATCCACATCGGTCAGGCTGGTATCCAGGTCGGAAACGCCTGCTGGGAGCTTTACTGTCTCGAGCATGGCATTCAGGTGATTTTCTTCGTCGCATTCTCTTCGTCTCTCTCAGACCTCTCGGTTTTGTTCCTCCCTTTCGTATTTTGGATCGTTGATAGACGTTTGAATCGGCCAGATCTGGTATTTTTTGTTCAATGACGTCCTCTCTGGAAGCAGATATAGTGCGGATCTGGTTAGATATGTCTCATTGTTCAGGTTACGTATCGTACCTGACCGTCAAATGACCGTATTATGAATGAAGTGGCAATCAGATTGATTGCAGCTGTGTAGATCTAGGGGTGTACCTCCTATTGATTGGGTAAACGAGTGGATATTGTTCGACATTTGGACAGATCTGAGGTGGTGCTGCCCTTTCATGCTCACTTTGTGTTTGTTTGTGAAGGGTCAATATCTGACGTTTAGATCATTGATCTACACTAGGTCGTCAAACAGAATTGTATTACGCGTGCCAATTAGATTTGATCTGTTAACGAAAATTTATCTTTCGAATCATTGTGAACTATCTAGTGCATGTCGGCTGAATTTCACGGATGAATCCATTTATAATCGGTTCTTCTCTTGGGGTTTTGGGTGCTTCGATAATGTCTTGTTGTTTTTCTATCTTGTACCATGTATGATTAACCGAACTGTACAAACTGACCCTTTATTGGTGTTCGCAGCCGGATGGCCAGATGCCGAGTGACAAAACTGTCGGAGGAGGTGATGATGCTTTTAACACCTTCTTCAGTGAAACTGGTGCTGGGAAGCACGTTCCCCGTGCTGTTTTTGTAGATCTGGAGCCCACTGTCATTGACGAAGTCAGGACTGGAACTTACCGCCAGCTCTTCCACCCTGAGCAGCTAATCAGCGGAAAGGAAGATGCCGCCAACAACTTTGCCCGTGGCCACTACACCAGTAATGATCCTTCCGTTTATTGACTGCTTTGGTGTATCAATCCTTTCGACTGTGTACTTAAAGCGTTTCTTTTGAATGTTTCAGTTGGCAAAGAGATTGTTGATCTTTGCTTGGACCGCATCCGAAAGCTGGCTGACAACTGCACTGGTCTCCAAGGATTCCTTGTGTTCAATGCTGTTGGTGGTGGTACTGGATCAGGTCTTGGGTCTCTCTTGCTCGAGCGTCTCTCTGTGGACTATGGCAAGAAATCCAAGCTTGGATTCACTGTGTACCCCTCACCACAGGTTTCAACTTCTGTCGTTGAACCCTACAACAGTGTCCTCTCCACTCACTCTCTCCTCGAACACACCGATGTGGCTGTTCTGCTTGATAACGAGGCCATCTATGACATCTGCAGACGTTCCCTTGACATCGAGCGCCCAACCTACACCAACTTGAACCGCTTGGTCTCTCAGGTATAACATCAATTGGAATTTAAATTCCAGTGATGCATTTTCTGAATTTGTCCTAACCATATGGTTATGGTGCATCATGATTCAGGTGATCTCGTCCCTCACAGCCTCTCTGAGGTTTGATGGAGCCTTGAACGTGGACGTGACCGAGTTCCAAACCAACCTCGTCCCATACCCAAGAATCCACTTCATGCTTTCCTCATATGCCCCAGTCATCTCAGCCGAGAAAGCCTACCACGAGCAGCTCTCAGTGGCAGAGATCACCAACAGTGCGTTCGAGCCGTCATCCATGATGGCCAAGTGTGACCCACGCCATGGAAAATACATGGCATGCTGCCTCATGTACAGAGGAGATGTCGTGCCCAAGGACGTGAACGCTGCGGTGGCGACCATCAAGACAAAGCGAACCATCCAGTTCGTTGACTGGTGCCCGACCGGGTTCAAGTGCGGAATCAACTACCAGCCACCGACGGTCGTTCCGGGGGGTGACCTAGCCAAGGTGCAGAGGGCGGTGTGCATGATCTCCAATTCCACAAGCGTGGCGGAGGTCTTCTCTCGAATCGACCATAAATTCGACCTGATGTACGCGAAGAGGGCATTTGTACACTGGTACGTGGGTGAAGGAATGGAGGAAGGTGAATTTTCGGAGGCGCGTGAGGATCTGGCCGCCCTCGAGAAGGATTATGAGGAAGTCGGTGCTGAGGGTGATGATGGTGAGGACGACGAGGGTGAGGAGTACTAAGAGAGAGCTTCTCTCTAATATGAATTTCCCGAATCTCTGTGTTTGTTTGTTGTGTGGTGTTTTTTTGTTGGTCGCAGCTACTCTTTGATCTGCGTGTGTGTTGGCTTTGTTCCTCCTGTTCTTAATAGACTTCTTCAATGATATGACTGTGGTTTCTGCTTCTGTTACATCTATATCTGTTGCTAGATTCTGTGGTGATCATTTACCATGCCGTTCAGGACCACCTAGTGGTATAATCAAAAAAATTTACTGGTACTTAGTTTTATCCATGACGTCTTTATTTCGATTGTGCAACAATTTCGACATGTGCTCTATAAATAACCGAACACATATCATAGATTGCGTAAGCATTTCCTCAAATGCATGGTTTGGTATTTCCACAAGAATCATATAATTTATGCATCCGCCGGAAACTATTCAGGTGAATTAATCCTAAATATATTCTCACAGTAAATGTTAATTACATGTTAACTATCTTGCCGTGGGCCGATCTTTTAAATATTAATTACTCTTACAACATTACTAGTAATAAATCGGATCGTAGATCAGGGTTACCACCATGGTTAACAAAAGAGAGGATGTTCCACCGGCCCATTTAACGCGATGCGAGTTAGCCCAATCAAATCTTATAATGGGCCGAACAAGTGGATCCGGTCATTGCCCGGGCCGGGTCGGGTCAGGCACGCGAAGTTCCGGTTGGGGGGGTCTTTCTTTGCGAAAGCCTAGCCCCTTCGCTTTTCTCCAAATCACAAATACTTGCAGAGAGAGAGACGAAGATCGTGAGAAAATGGCTTTGGCTTTGGCACGTTCAGCCCTTTCCCGTGCAGCGATCCGTGGAGCTTCGAGGACCTCAGCTCCCCGTCGGAACTTCTCCTCAAAAGGCCACCATGACGATGCTTGTAATTACCTCCCCTTCTTGTTGATTTCATGCGAATTAGGGTTTTTTCCTGGGAAAAGTCTTAATCATTCCTTGATTTGTCTGGGTTCTAATATGTCTGTGGTTCTTAGTCTAGGCTTTCCAATGATTCAATACGCAATCTCCGATTCGAAACAACTCGGATTCGGATATGCTGTTGCTTCGATCGTTCTCTATTGATTTATTTCGTGAATCATAGATCGATGAATGAGTATGAATTTCAAGGCGAGAGTTGGTTTCTACCACCTGCATTTTAAATCTGATAACTTAAAATCCAATCAAATCATGTTTGCATAGTCGAGATCTAGGTATTTTGACCCCTGACCATTGAATGCGGCTTATCTGGTTAAATTGCCCATTCGGTTAAATTATCGGTTTGTTCGGTCCTATGTATAGCTTTGTTTATTCCTTTGGGTATTGTCAAAATTTTGAGTTTTCCACAGATGAATCTGCAAAGTGGGAGAAGATCACGTATTTGGGTATTGCTTCTTGCACTGCTCTGGCCCTCTATAACTTATCAAAGGGTCATCCCCACTACGATGAGCCTCCTGTAAGCTTCCCTCGCATCTTTATCTCACCTTTCTACGATTTAGCTGTGTCATCATAATGCGCCTTCCCTTTTGAAGAGACTGGTAATGGCAGTGGAAATGGAATTGAAAGGATTATGCATTCTTCAAGTCTCTAAAACAGCCGTATCTATTCATCTCTTGGTAATTTGATTGCCTCATTGTCATTGGTATTTTGCTTTGTTTGTTCCTTGAGCAGGCATATCCGTATTTGCATATGCGCAACAAGGAGTTCCCTTGGGGTATGTTTTGTCCCTTTCAAAGTTTACTCTCCCCACTACTAATAAGAATTGTGATATTTCTAGTTCTAGCCACGGTTGCCCTGGATATCATTCATGTTCTCGTATGTGTTTTGCGAGTTGTGTCTCGGATGAACATGACAATGAGAATCTATCTCTAGTAGCATGAGCTGAAGGAGGTTTGTGGCAAACATTATTTCGAAAACCATTTTAGGGTTCTGAATCTGCACGGCTTATGTGATTTTCAGGACCAGACGGCTTGTTTGAGGTGAAGCACCACTAGCATGGAGGCCTTGTGTCATCTTCACATAATAATGTCGCTTGAACCCTTGTTTCAGAGAGAAAACCTTTCTTTACTCATTTCGCTTTCTGAATTTTATTTTAATCTTACTCCGTGTCTGTGACCTCAAATCTGTTATTGGGGGAATAAGTATCAAACTTTATTTTGTAATCCAAGATTCGATTATGCAATGGTGATGGCTTCCAAGCTCCAACCTTTTCTCAACTGATTAAAGACCCGATGTGCATGCAACAGGTCTTCCAAGCTCCAACCATTTCTCGTACTCTTTTTTTTTTTTTTGATAATCTGAAAGTTCACCGGGTCTTTGACCCGACTACATCTCCTAGAGGACCGGAAAAACCTAGGTGAATGCCCTTCTCCACGTTTGGGTTTGAACCCAAGGTGAAACCATACTTTCATACTTTGTATCTTCTCTCAAGATCATCCAAGTTTGATTATTAAAAAAAACTCGTACTTTGGTCTCAAGTTTGACAAAAACCCATCAAATATATAAATTTGTAAAGGGTACAACTACAGATATGATGAGAAAAGGAAGAAATCTCAATTCTTGAAAACGGCCCAAATGACGAGCATGAATTTAATAAGGCATGCGAACCCTCACTCGGCAGCAATGTTGTCGTTGTTCCCTCCGGTGTCAGGCAGGGTTTCCAGATCAGTCCGGACTTCCTTCACTTCTTGAGGGAGACTGTTGTCTGAAGAGGAATCCGTGTGTTCATCGTGATCGTTCTGCGTCACTTCTACTTCTGTCTCATCATCCTTCTTGCTTTCTTCTTTCTCTGATTCCGTTGTATCCTCCGATTCCTTTTGGCTTGAATCTCCGTTGTTGCTTTCCTCTTTCCGTGGTTCTGTTTTCGTGGATTCTGCGGATTCCTCCTCCGATTCCTTTTGGGTAGAATCTGAGCCTGAACTGCCATCTTCGTTGCTGGGCTCACTCTCAGTTTTACCATTTTCCTCGGATGGTGTATTGTTATTGTTCTCTTGATCGTTTGAAGAATTGGAAGATTCTTCCTGTTCCTTTTTCTCACTCTCAGTGTTTTCATTTGCCTGTGAGTCTGAAGACTCTTCCTTTTCCTTCGTCCCATCTTCTTTCTTCCCATTTTCCTCTGATGATAGCTCTGTTGACTCTACTTTCTCCTTTTCATCTTCTTTTTTTATTTCTTCAGGATTCTCATCACCAGAATTGCCTGCAGATTTACCACTCTCGTCAGTGCTGTTGGTGGAGTTATCGGTCTTCTCACCAGATTCCGACCCGTTGTTTCCACCAGATTCTGTGGTCTCTGTTGCATTGGATTGTGACTGGTTTGTTTCAGGCAACTCGCCATTAGAATCAGAAAAACCCTTTGCCAACACCACATTCTGCGTGACAGATTCACCCTCTTTAGAGTCGCTCTGGCTCTCTGTTTTCGTTTCATCAGAGGAAGACGGGTCAGTGTTTTCAGCTTCTGACTTCTCACCCGTCTCATTGTTCGTCTCTTGTTGGTTACCATCATCACTGCCACTCTCTGTTGTGTTCGAAGCAACAGTCTTTATAATGGCGTCTTCCACTTCCTCAGTCTTTGGACCCGACTCATCTTCTTGGAAACTGACATTCTCATTGCTGTTAGATTTGCTTTCTTCCTCGTTTTCGGCCTTTTCCCTCTTCTCTCCCGGCTGCTCATTCTCATGTGTTTCATGGACTACCTCGCTCGATGCATCATCTCCTTTGTAATTCTTCTCTCTCGCTTCCTCGCTGCTCGTCTCACCTCCTCCACCCTCATTCTCCTCTGTCTCCTTCTCTTTATCTCCTGACCCGTCACTTTCGTCCTTCACCTCGTTCTCCTCTTCCATACCCTCATTCTCTTTCCTCTCCTCCCTCTCTTCACTGTTTCCATCCTCTTTGCTCTCGGTTCCTTCACTTTCCTTCTCCTTCTCCTCGCCTCCATCCTCCTCCCGCTCTGCATTCTCATCGACATTCTCATTCTCCTTTTCAACAGTATAAGTACGCGTATCTCCTCCATTATCAGTATCATCCTCTGGTTCATATTTCACCGGAGTCTCCTCGACCTTCGGGTTGAGATCTTTCCTCCCGAACTTCACACCGACATTCGCACTCTCCTTCTCGAACTGAGCTTTCTTCTCGTGAGAATGCTTCACTTGGTAAAGCAGCCATATCCCAACGCCCAGTAACACGCATAGCTGAACGCAATGCTTCACCTTGAAGCCCTTCGACCTCTGTCCTCTTCTCGGCGATGATCTGAACATTTCTGCCTCTCTCTCACAAAGCAACCTATTTCAAATCCATAAAATCATCAATTCTCCACACACAAAAAAAAAAAAAAATCTTTAATCTATGACACTCCTTATGGGAGAACCCGTAGAATCAGAAAACACGAACAATCCAGAATGAATCCTCGATTATTTCTTGATCGAAGAGACGAACACACCAGCTAATGGTGTTGATCTACAACGCCAATCAAAACAATTAATCCCCAAAAATGGCCTCGGAACAATAACTCAATTCTTTGAATCGATCAAATAAAGAAAATTCACTACAAATCGAAGACTGTAACAGAGTAGTGCCTGAAGATCTTACGAATCGGATTCAGTAACTTGGACTGAACTAAACAAGAATTCAAAAGAAATGTGTGAATGCATCATCGTGGAACGGATCCAAGCAGTACCAAAGCTTCATTTACCGCCATTGAAACAAGAAAAACCGGAAAGAAAACGAAAGGCCGGAAACATCTAAAAAGAAAGCGAGACTTACCCAGAAAAGCAAATCGATCCAAAAACAGAGCTTTGTGTTTTTCTTTTCCGGCAAGCGGCGAAGAACGAACGAGGACGGAAGATCCGCGAAGATGTGTGAACGCGACGCGACTCAAGTTCTTTTCAAACGATTTGGATCTGGCGAAGTAAAAAAGCCTCCTAAAAAGTGCCACTGAAATCGTGCGTCCCTTGAATTGGAAACAAATTTCAGGGAGTTAAAAAAAAAAAATCGTGAGAATATTTTAAGAGCCAAAGAAAAAAAAAATCAGCAGCTTCGCTTGACGGATGCCATGCCAAGTGCGCGCACGATCCCAACGGCGTCGTTCCGAGTCCTTTGTTCACCGACAAACTAAAACGACGTCGTATATCTGTCCAAAGTATTGGGCCGGGCCATCAGAAATTAACTTGGACCTCATCTTTTTTGAGTTCACGTTGGCGAGTCCAATCATCGCCACGTGTCGAATAGAGATGCTTAGCTCGATAATCACGAAGTTGTCATGTTGCATTCCCTTGTGGCTTCATCAACTGCTCAAAAGTCACACAGACAAACGATGGATCCCGAGTAGGTAGACAATGATGTAATCATTTATGTCCATAGGTAGCCAATTATCAATTTAATATCTCTAGAGGATTTACCCTCCGAAAACCTCACCGATCTCTCTGAATCTCTCGTGTGAACAAGAAATAAAAAGAACACAGAGTTTACGAGTTCAGTACCGAGTTTTAACACTCGATACCTACGTTTCGAGAAGAGGAACAGCGTTTGCTAGGGTTACACAAACAGAACAGCCGGAGATCGACCGAAAAATCGACCCTGAACCACCGGAGAACATAAGTTCGCCGACCTAGAGAGAGAAACCACCCAAAACCCAGAAAAACGCAAGTCTGAGACACAAAAACGAAATTAAGATTTCATTTACCCTAAAGAACCAAATGACCGAATTGCCCCTCCACGTTTTGGAACCCTCTGACAGAAACCGAAGCTTCGAAACATTCTACTCCGCTCAGAGAATTTGCTGAAGACTCAACAAATCTCCCTTCTTCTACAAAACCTGCAAAGAAAGGAAAAACACGAAAGAAAACAAAACACGCCAACCCTAGCAGGCTCATTCCCGTAACTTCCATGTAACTCCCCCTCTGGACATGCTTCAAGGCGTTTTGAATCTACCTTTCTAAAGGAGTTCTTACCGAGCGTGTCATAAACACGTCTCAGCGTGACACGACGCACCTAACCTACCCAAGCGAGTATCCCCCGACACCTCCGCTTCCGAAGGCTACCTAAGACCTAGACTAGTATGACTCCCTAGACCATCTAAATGACCCCCTCCGGTGAAGTCTATACCTCACCTATGGTCCCCCGAGGGTCATGTCCCGACATCTACCTGTCCCCCGAGTCTACCCCGACTGCCCCAAGACTAACCTTGAGTCATACTAACACACCTAACTCTTGATCCCCATAAAGATCAAGCGACCTATGACCTCTACCCCGGACCCCACCTACCGACTAAGGTGTCCCCACGGGTTTTACCCCGTGAAGACTCCCCTAGTCGACCTATAGGAACTCTACCGAAGGCTCGGAACACATGCAAGCACGTGCTCCACCCCGAGAGGAAATGCCCCTAGCGCTACTACCCTCATCGACTCTACCCGGTGAACCGGCATTCCCTCGCTCGCCCTTTCCCTTGAGCTTCCTACCCGAGGTAACTCCACCTAGACGTGGAGACCTCACCTCCGAACCTTCACTCGAGGAGTAGTCGGAGCATACTAGAAGTACCTCCGAATCATACTCCTGAACCGAGGCTATTACCCCCTTACCCTCGGTCTCCTCCTTCGCCCTCCGTCCTTCTTATAGTGTCCCTTCTTCCCGCAATACCAACACTCCACCTGGTCCTTGGGCTTCTTCTTCCTGCCACCCGATTTCTCGGGTTTGCCCTTGACCACTAATCCTTCCCCCGTACCCCGAGTAAGGGTACCCTGAGCTAGAAGCTCTAGCTCCTTCATCCTAGTTGCGGTCTTCACCTCCTCCACCAAGATTGTAGCTCGGGAATATTATAGGACTTCCCTCAGCTGCTCGAAAGCAGGAGGTAAGGAGCTCAGCAGGTAAACTGCTTGATACTCCTCCTCTAGCTTCACATTTATGCTGTGAAGGTCGGACAATAATTTCTGGAAAATGTCTAAATTCTCCTCTATCATCCTAGAGCTATCCATCCTAAACCCTGACACCCTCTGCATGAGGTACATCCTTTTGGGGAGGGATTGCTCTATGTGCAACCGCTCTAGTTTCCTCCAGATTCCGAAGGCCGTCCTTTTGGATATAACCTTCCTTAGAACCTGATCCACTAGAGCAAGCACTATGAGATTCCTAGCCCTTCTACTCCTTTCTTGTCTCTCTTTGAGAGCCGGAGTGCCTGATCCCTTTGCCCCGGGTCCTAATGACCCGGTGGAAAGGGCCGTAAGGCCTCCCGAATCCTCGGTTTCCCGAGCTGGAGTTTGTGGGCTCCCCTCATCAGCAACCCCCCACGTAGATGGATCATCCTCTAGTGTGTCCCCTAACCCTAAGATCTTTAAGCTAATGGACATCTTCTCCTTCCATAAGAAGAAGTCTCCCTTGCCGTCGAATTTCTCGACGTCAAGGCCGCGAAACAGAGGGGCAGACATCACTAAGGAATACTTAATCTCTAATCCGAGGATGCATTAGACCTACCTAGGACAACACTAAACCTGGGAATGACTAAACCGACCCTAGGAGCACCTTAAACCAAACCTAAGGAGTAAGACCGATCCTAAGAGGACCTAAACCTAGATATTTTCCAACCTAACAGACCTAATAGACTCTAAACCTGCCTACCTAAGACATTATTACTTCTAATCAGACCTACTCCAAGGCTAACACTGACCTTGTTGGAGTTAACCATGTTCTCCTCACGTGTTTATTTTGTTGCCGTTTAGTTTTTGAAGTTATTATTTTCGGTTGTTTTATTTTAGGTTGAATAAGTCTGAGAAGACCTAGTATTGCGCTTGACCCATTAAAGTCGATGCAGATTTTTGGGTTTGTTTTGATATTTAAATGCATTATAAATAAGAGATGTAAAGCTCAGACTTGAGCATCGGAGAAAAATACAAAAACGTCATTTCTCATTATTCTCTCTCCTTGATTAATGTCTCTCTTTCAATGGTTATTTTCTCACGAATGTCTTTATTTGTAAAACTCCAAAAATCTTTGTTAAAGTTTCCATTATTAAATTCTGTCAGACCTAACCAACCTAATCAGACCTAAACCAAGGCTAACACTGACCTAACCAACCTAGATCAAACCTAAACCAAGTCTATTCTGTCCCCCTAAGTCCTAATCAGACCTAAGCCAACCCTATATTGACTTACCTACCCCTAATCAGACTTGAATTAACCTAATCAGATCTAAACTAAGTCTAAACCGACCTAATTAATTCTGATCAGACCTTATCTAGCCTAAAATTAATCCTTACAGACCTGTACCTATTGATTTCAAGCCTAATACCGACTTCTAACTCACCTGATTTCAGCCAAATCCCTCTATTCAAGCCTAACCGGACAGAATTACCGGACTCTATAGATTGAAAACAGGTAACCAAAGTCTACCGCAAATCTAATCTGCATCTATCTAGGATAAATCGATCTATACAGATCCTAAATACCCTATACCAGACAGAATACCCTAAGAACCGGACTCTATCTAACCCAATCGAACTAATCAGACCTAAAACCAACCAATTTAAGTCCTAATCAGACAATCCTGACCCTAAACCGATCAATCTAGACCTTTTCTAGTCGATACAGACCCTAAACCAGACAATACCAGGCCTATTTGGACGAAACAGACCCTAATCAGACCTAAACCGGCCCAATCCCGATCTAAATTGATCTAAACCGGACTCTATTGTCCTAAACCGATCCTAGATTGACCTAAACCGGTCTGGATTATCCCGAACCAGACCTAAATTGACTCGAACCGGTCCAATTAACCCAAATCGGACCTGAACTGATCCAATTGACCTGAACCGGTCCGGTTTTCCTAACCCGATCAACTGTTGACCAGAAATTAGTCAACCTTTGACCTAACCCGACTAAACCGGTTCGATTTTAAAATCGAACCCGGTTCGATTTTAAAATCGAACCCGGTTCAATTAGACAATCTCGATTTAACCGGCTAAACCGGATTAAACCGAGAAACCCAAATTTTGGAAGCTGTCGCCGAGTTAACCCGGTCAACTCGGACGTTGACACACCCCGGGAAATGATTCAATCGAGACTCGAACGAGTCACGGCCGAGATTCGCCCGAAACCACCGGCTTCCCCCCTCCCCCCAAAACCCTAGATCTACGCAAACCGAGTAGTAACTCACCTCTTCGGAGTCTAAACTCAACTGATTTACTCAGTTCGAGTCAGATCCGGGAAAACTACCTCTTTCTGCTCCGATCTAAGCTCCTTTGCCGGTGACCGTCGCCGATCTCGACTCGAGATGGCTCCTCAAGTGATTTCCACCACAGATCCGCCGAGCCTCGCCACGAACCGGGCTCCTGATACCACTTGTAGAGGATTTACCCTCCGAAAACCTCACCGATCTCTTCAAATCTCTCGTGTGAGCAAGAAACGAAAAGAACACAGAGTTTACGAGTTCAGTACCGAGTTCTAACTTCGATACCTACGTCTCGGGAAGAGGAACAACGTTTGCTAGGGTTACACAAAGAGAACAGCCGGAGATCGACCGGAAAATCGACCCCGAACCACCGGAGAGCACAAGTTCGCCGACCTAGAGAGATAAACCACCCAAAACCCAGGAAAACGCAAGTCTGAGACACAAACACGAAATTAGGGTTTCATTTACCCTAAAGAACCAAATGACCGAATTGCCCCTCCGCGTTTTGAAACCCTCTGACCGAAACCGAAGCTTCGAAACCTTCTTACTCCGCTCAGAGAATTTGCTGAAGACTCAACAATATCCTTAAAATATAGCTATAAAATTATCATTTTTCTTTGTGTTGGACATTCGTTATAATTACCTTTCTATTTTTTATATACATAATTTTTATTTTATCGAAAAATGTCCGAGTAATTGTAATACCTAAGCAATTTAAAAGGGTCTCATCAGAATTTCACTCTTGGCAGTTATATGATAAAAAAAAAATGTCTACAACTTTTCCTTTCTTTTCTTCTACGTTTGTCTATTTTTTACAAATCTTTAATAACATTATCAATTTTCCATGGAAAATTATTATATTTTAGAAGTCCAATAGCAATTTCAAACATTGGGCTGAATTCCTTTAAACGTCTCACGTTGATGGGCTTTATCAACCCAATATTTTTTTGAACCGACCCTTTGGCCCATTCGTAGAAGTTTCAACATAATTTTTATTTTTTATAATCCGGAGTTTACTATATATTTGATCCAATTAAATCTTTGAAAAAGGTTAGAAAAATCTAAGTAAATATTTTTTCCGATGTTTAAATTTGAATTTGGATAATAAAAAGATTAGAAAAATCTAAGTAAATATTTCTTACCACTAAAACACCCAAATTTGGGTCTAATATTGCTGTTAAAAATATATGTCATATACAGATGAGTCAAAAATGATGATGACCTTTTAACCTATGTTATGATTTATTCTTCTCTTTGGTCTTCAGTTGATTAATGAACTTTAGTCCGTACGAGCAACGGACGCAATTGATGAATTTATATCTTATATATATATATATATATATACGGGCTAAGTAAAATAATATCAAAACGGAAGAAAGCGATATAAAGTTGCAACACACACATGTAAATCCCGCATCCATAGTTATCAAAATCTACAATTGGACCATCGGAATCTTCACCTTTTTTTATAGCTTGTCCTCGACTCCTTGAAAACCATATATGCCTTGTTTCCTTGCCGAAGGATGCGATCCATACTCCATAATAAAGATGCCACCACATTTTTTTTTTTTTTGTGATCACAAATCAAGAACCCAATCCCACATTCTCCTAGAAAAATCTAAAGCTTCAAAAGCTCCATACGTTGAAATAGAAAAAAAAGTGAACCAAATAAAAATGCCGAGAAGAACAATAAAATATGTTATGGACACCAAAGATCATGAGGCGCAAGTAAATATATATTAATGTTTTCATTCGACTAGTAGTCTAGTACTGTAATGAATCTAATATATACGGTACATGTTGAAAACACTAAGGATTATACCTTCATATCCAAATATACGTGTATATATATAGTTTTTATTTCATGATTTGAGAAATGAGTCGAGGTATTTACAAGGATGATTGGTTAAATCGATGGCAGCACCGAACATTGAATGACACTTTTGGCCTCTAGCAAATCTATATGAAGACAAATACAAATGTACGTACATGCATGCAAATGTCAAAAGTATGGTCATTCAAAGGAAGAACAGTATAAGAATCCCTACTGTTTGCGTTGCTTGACTTGTGTAATGATATGAAACCCCACTTCGTTCTTTGGTCACGTCGACGTTATGTAGCATATGAAACATCCCATCATCACCCTCATTATATTTATAAATTTGACAATTTGTTTGTCAGACAATATTCAATTAATTTGGCAAGTTTCCTCTAGAGTCATTAATGTTATGGGTTTTTTTTTTGCATGCTTCTTCATTATACGTACTTTTCAAGTAGGGAAACCGTATCTTTGTCTTTAAGAATCTTTTAAATGAGTGAACACCTATATACACATTATATATGTATACATATTGTGTATCTTTCCTCCATAAAATTGGAATTTGTCAGATTAATGCTCGAAAATTCGAAAAGAGTAACACCATCTACTCCGTTTGAATATTATAATAACTAGTTTACACTGATTACAATCAAAATATTTACACATAATAAAGATCTGATTGAACAAGCTGTGGTGGAGACAGGAAAACATTAATTCAAGGGTCGAAGATGGAGTTACCACATCTGCATTTCCAACTCATGGGCTTGTAGTTAGAACTGTCATCACCTCTTGCATAATCAAGATTAAGAACGGCAGAATCTGAAGAAGCATGGAGATTTGTCTGAAACTTTTGAGGATCTGTGGGGACCTGAATGGCTTCACAGAGCCCACATGATCTGCACCTTCTCTTGCAACTTGGAGGCCTTGACCCTATTTGACCTCTCATTAGGCTTTCCTCTTCATCGATCCCTCTCTATCCAAACCCAGAAATTAAGAGATTTACCAAATAAGTGTTTAACTCGTTTATTGAATGAGTGATGGTTCGATTATTTATACCTTGGAGAATGGAGGGGAATTATTAGGCTCTGCTCTTCCTGAAAAGGGCAAGAGAAGTGAATTAAAGGAGGTAAAACGTTAGTAATCACACGAGGTTTGAAAGTTCCTTTTTTGTCTTCACTGAAGTGAACATTAGGGTATTTTGAAATCGACCCATTTACCATCTGCTCTGAATCTCAAGTGGGTCGAATTCAGAATCAAGAAAAACAGAAGAATGCTTGACATATTGCTCCGTGCCATTTTCACACTGTCACGCTGCTTGCGAGAGGAAACTCTCTCTCTCTCTCTCTCTAGCTCTGTGTGTTTGTGTTGGAAGAAAGAATATTGATGAGGAGACGCTTCCCAATGAGAGAAAGAGGAGAGTGACCCTTAAAAGGCAAGATTTTTTTTCTCCACACGACCGCACGCACGTATGTGTGCATATATAATTATATATATAAACGTGCGCACATGTACTTATACATGTATATATACAGACCAGTGCCCGAATAATGCAAAAAAAATGTGGAAAGGAAACTACAGAGGTACGACAAAAGAGCAGAGTGAATAATATAGTATAAGGAAAGAGGTAAAAAGGGAAAGACATCTTCTCCTTCCATAAGAAGAAGTCTCCCTTGCCGTCGAATTTCTCGACGTCAAGGCCGCGAAACAGAGGGGCAGACATCACTAAGGAATACTTAATCTCTAATCCGAGGATGCATTAGACCTACCTAGGACAACACTAAACCTGGGAATGACTAAACCGACCCTAGGAGCACCTTAAACCAAACCTAAGGAGTAAACAAGAAAAAGTCCCATAAACAGCAATAAAAAATTAACCGACGGTCCATCACAGCTGTTTGATTGAATTCTTATATACATCGTGTATTTAATTTTATTTACTAAATTAATTTGATTGTAAAAGGCCTGAAACGAGTTTTTTGGGTTTAAAATTCAATAAGAAGCTCAACCTGAACGAGTAGTGTATAGAAAAGGGAAAGGGAAAGCCCAATTATTGTTAATCCATCAAGGCGCAATTGGGCCCATACTTGGGCTTTTAGAAAAGATTGTGATCGCCCTAAGCCCACCAAATCCATAACTAGTCCGGAATTTCATGCCTTCGGGAATTTTTTTTTTGGGAAATGAGATTTTTAATATTGTATACCCGTCCAAAAAATGAAATAAATTTGGAGCGTGGCTTATAATATCTATTATCGGCACATATACACATAGGAAGGGAATGTAGTAGTAGGTAGGTAGCATATTAAATTGAATCATATATGACGACGCATACAAAATAATTAAAGACACGATATTTAGTAAACATAAGTTATTTTAATCCGTTGATTTCTTATCTGTGCTTAATTCCACGTGGGGGTTTTGTCAATTGGGTACGCCCGTCGAAGTTAATGTACTTGTAATTGATTTATTTGTTTAAGATACGCAATATCCAATGGCGAAATTTTGGGGAATAGGCCCATTTCAACCCATACATACATGCCCGCTTGCACAAACACGCACACATGATACATGATAATGCACATATATAAAATACTCCATCCGTTTTGGATTAGATAACGTTTTATAATAATATGTTTTTGTTTTAAAATAAGTGATGTTTTGAGATTTTTTATATAATTTTTAATGTTTTTTCAAATTTATTTTAAATTAATAATAGTTAAATGTTGTATATATTTATTAATAACAATTTTCTATGTTATAAATAATAATATTTTGTTTTTTTTTTGTTTTTGGTTAAATAAATAATGGTATTTTGTGTAAACTATTGTTTTTTAAATTTATGTGTTTAAGCTTTAAACGATATAAAAATCACTAGGATATGAATATATAAATGCATGAACTTATGTGCGTATACATATGGATATGTATATGTGTGTGTATATATATTACACATGCATGCATACACAGATGCATACGTTACACTATGAGTGGCCGACGAGACGGGCGGGTTTAATTAATTTGGTCAAAATGGGAGAAATCACGTAGATAAGATTCTTGGGGCCCACTGAAGATAATTGGATATAATTGCAATTGTAACTTTCTCTCACGAATTGATGAGTGATGACTAATCCTCTTTTATCTTTAAATAACTATTTTTTTAAATCAAATATATATATATATCGACGTGTTGCTGTTGATGGTGCTGGAGTGTTTCCATTTGCTGATAAAGTTTGTAACTAAAAAATAAATAAATTGAACGAACAAAAACATAAAGACAAAGCACTAAAAGTCATATGATTGCTATTTATATATTTGATGTAACTCAAACTATACAGTAACAAGTCGTCATAACAGTTTAAGAAGTTTGGAAAATGTGAAAGCCACTTTCTTTTGCCGTCTCCCATTTCTTATGTTTTTATTATAATTATATTTTTATATATCTACCGTAATACCACTTTCCTGTTATACATACAAGTCTCCTATAATTATGAGATCGTTTTTTATTTTCAATCTTAGACCACCATATTAATAATTTAAATCATGTAATGGATATATTTATATGGATAAACATTCATATTAGTCTAATCACAATCATAGTTTCCATTGATATTTTTTTCAATCCATAACCGTTTTGTTGGGTTTTTCTTACAAATTCATTATATCTGTAAAATATATAAATAAAATAAAGGATAAATTTTTTTTTAAAAAAAAGTGTTCCGCTCGGAGACATATATATGTATATAATATAGAAATAAAATAAAGCAGTAAAAAGTTTAAAAGAATAAGAAAGGATTTTAGCTCGGTAAAAAAAACATTTTTTGCTTAATACTTAGAGGATCACATGTGATTATACCACATGAAAATTAAAATTTACTTATTATTCGATTATAATTTTTTATGATTAAATCGAATAAAAATAAATAACACTTATTACATTCGAAAAAATAAAATTCCAAACCCGAAATCTAAGTTATAACTACCGATAATTCGGATTATTTCAATCAAATTTATTGTCATTATCTCCTTCTCACAAACCACAAAATCATTTTCAGACAAAAGCTGACACTGCAAAAAACAAATTCAGTTAAAATCTAGACGTAGCTAATTATGAATTTGTTCGTGATGTCTTTGTACGTGAAAAACAATAATGTGCGAGGATGGTTGATTAGGAACCCACATGTTTGATTTCGGGGTAAGAAAAAATTAAAATAAAATCGAACCCAATTGGTCTGTTCCACGTGTCGACCGATGAGATCAATAATATGTTTTTTTAAGCCTTAACCGTAAGGACATGTGATGAGGTCAACGGTCAACCGTAAAATTCATGAGACCCACGTGTTAATCGGTGATTCTGTGTTCTGAAACTGTACGCATGTGAGGTGTTTCTTTCACTTCACTTCGAAGTAATCAAAGCAGAATCTCAGACATAATCTTACGGGTCAAAGGTTTCAATTCAAATATATGTGTTCTAATTAATTTGATTCCCGGATTCACGCAATGTTTCCTCGTATCTTGGGGTGTATTATTGTATTTTGGTACTGCTTTTTTTATATATAATTTTAGAAGATATTAGTTTGATAAAATGATGGTATTTCAACAAATATAATGCCTCGTATCATATAGTTCCTTTTTTTTTAATAAGAAGCAAATTATCCATATAAAGATAAGATAAAGCACGTCCAAAATGTAACAATTTTATAAAGAGGAAACTGCCATGAGAACATAAGCAAAAATGTACGTGAGGAGGGACACAAATCACATGGTCCTTTGGACAAATATATTCATGCATTGATCGATATTGTAGCAATAAGGGTTATTGAATTTTATGTGGTACGTGACATGTGAGGCAATATGGGCACACACTGCGACATGCTTTTTTGACTATGCTTTGGAAATATTATTATAGATATGAGCCAGATCGAGAAATTCTACTACGTTCTATTTAATCAAATATCTTCTTTCCCCCCCCCCCCTCTA